TGGATAAGATGAAAAGTGCAAAGTCCACAGTGAAAAGAAAAGGGAATCAACGACTGGCCACCAAATGTTCCCATGTGCCTGGCACTGGCTGAGGAGTAATTTCTTCCACCCCTGTGAGACCCTGCGAGGCGAATGCTGTTCGTTATCGCTCCCATGTCACTGTGAGGGAAACTGAGGAGCAGAGGCAGCACAGCTAAGGTGGTGGAGCAGGGCTCAAATCTGAGTGAGCTGATCTTATAGCCTGGTTCTGGGCAAGCTTTGCATCCTTCTGGAATTGGCAGCTTTAAAGACTAACATCATCATTTAGCAGATTAAGCAAACAGAATTCCATAGCTCCCTCCCTGTGTCAGACAACTGTGCTCCCTAACACTGGAGTGGATCAGACGTCTGGATTGGGAAGGGAAGGAACAGATCATAAGGAAATGAGCAGTACCCACATGAAGGGGAACAATTAGGAAAGGTTAATTTGGGAAAGGTCCAGGAGAGGAAGCCACCACATGCTCATCACGTGGCAGTCATGTGCGACTGTAAAGTGGAGGCACCATATGGGTCACCTCTCCTAGCCTGGGCTAGGAAGGAAAGACAGGATGGGTTTCCTCCTGAGGTTATAAAGGAAGAAGCTCAGTGACTGCTTCAGTGTCTCACAGGAGGGAAGGAGACAGATGCGGACCGGAAACAGGCAGGCCACGTTCACAGGCAGCTGTTTAAGACCCCTTTGGACAATTTCTGTGGAGATTCCTACTCTGAGAGGGTCCAGGTTTGAGCCTGTGTCTCGAGACATCGCCCTGTCCAAGAGCTTCCTGTACTCTGTGTTCACGCAGAACCTTCCCTGTGCCAAATCTGTGTCAGCTCCTCAAGCCCTGAGGTAAGCACTGCTGTCAGGGAGCTCAGGGTAGTGGAAGGCAGGATGTCAAACGGTGATCAGCGAGGAGGCTGGGAGCTGGATCACCTGCTCACAGCTCTGTCACCATGAATTTACTGACGTTTTCTGTTTGCTTATCTGTGAAATGGTATTTACCTCGTAGAGTAGGGTAGACCTTTCTAATTAGAGCAGGTATAAAAGTGTTTAGCAAACTGCCTGGCATATGGTAAGCATTCAATAAACGACTGTTTCTGTTATGAGCTCGAGGTGGAGGTGGAGGGGACAGATAAACACGGGTGACCTAAAGGGCCTGGGAGCATGGAAGAGGGAGTGTCTAATGGCCTGGGGCAGGATCCTGACAGTAAGGACAGAGAGGGTGTTAGGAAATTCCAACCTGGGCTTTGGCTGGGGTGGGGAAAGCCCTAAGCAAGAAATGTCCCCCAAGAGACTCAGACATGCTGTCCACCCCACCTCATCAGAAAAGCACCAACCACTCCTTAAAAAGAACTTTCTTATTTAAAAATTGCACTTCATACAACTTGGAAAATAGAGAAAAACTTACCCATAATACCAACACCCCAACACTAGAATTTGAACCTCTCCATCCTTATTCTCCAGGCATCTTGTTTTTAATTGTTTTAATCACAATGCACAGTTCATATCTTGCATTTTTGCCTTATTATGCACTTGCAGAGATTTTCATTATACTTTTTTCATAAGGATTTTGATATTTTGGGTTTTTGTTCTTTTTTTTGAGACAGGGTCTTGCTATGTAGTTCAGGCTGGCCTGAACTCACTCTGTAGCCCAAGCTGGCCTCAAACTTGCAGCATTCATCCTGCCTCAGCCTCCCAAGTGCTGGGATTACAGGCCTGCACCACTATGCTTGCCATGGATTTTGATTTTTTTTTTTTGGTACCGGGGATCAATTTGGGTCCTTCTGCTTGCAAGGCAGGCAGTGGAACCACTGAGCTAAATCCCCGGCCCCTGGATTTTGATTTTTAAGTGACACAGAAATAGCCAGGTGTGGTGGTGGATGCCTGTAATAGCATTTGGGAGGCTGGGGCAGTACTGTTGTGAGTTTGAGGTCAGGCTGGGCTACACAGCGAGTTCAAGGCTAGTCTGAACTACCATAGTGAGACCCTATTACAAAAGAAAACAATGTTCTTTTAAAATATAGAAATAGTTTATGTTCTTTTTTTAAAATCCCAATCAGAATTAGCATAAAAATAGAAAGTACAAATACGGAGTACAAGTACTCAGAGGTGTAATTGCTTTTAGCATTTTGAGATTTTTTTCTATGTAAAAAAGTACAGTTGTGTGCCACCACATCTGGCCTGAGACTTTTTCCCCCAGTCCTAGAGACTGAATCCAGGGCTTCTGAACACATTGGGCAAGGGCGGTACCACTGAGCTGGGATTACAGGTGTGTGCCACACCTAGCTTCCAGACATTAAATTAAAAAAAACAGCCTATTTTTTCCCTTAATTATACATCACAGATGCTTCCATGCCAGTAAATGTAGGCATATGTAATTGTTTCCAATGGCTTCACACATTTCATGGGCTATGAGTGTGACTGAAATATACAGTGAAAGTTTAAGTGTTTTTTTTTTTTTGGTACCTGGGATCAAACTCAGGACCTTGCACTTTCCAGGCAGGCAGCAGAACCACTGAGCTAAATCCCCAGCCCAAAATTTTAAATTTTAAAAAAATGACAGCAAATGACACATTGTGTAATTAATCTCCCTCCCGATACTCTCCCTTGCTTTGAACACATATCATTCTTGCCACTTTCTGAAACAGTTCTGGAAGTCTTCTTTCATGTCTTTATGATAAAAAATACAGTGAGTGCTGCAGCCAGGTACCATCCAAAAGAAAGGCAGCCTTGTAAAAACGTGATGGTGTCCTCTATTCCACCTGTTGGCCACATCTGGCACTGTGCAACTTCTGGCTCTTCCTCAAAGTCAAAACCACCACAAAAGATAAAGATGGAGGCAACCTTGACAACACAACTAAAGACACTTGAGAAGGGGCTTTTAGAACTGCTTCAGACTGGCAAGAACTAGGGATAACTGTGTTTGAAGCAAGGGGGATTAATGAGAACGTGTGTCTTACTGTAATAAATCTCAAAATGGTTCACATTCACTGTATTTTTTGATCACACATCATATATAAAATATACGTAACCACCTGTGGTTGAATATTTTTGTTGCAGTGTAACAGTGTGTGTGTGCGCACTTCTCCATCATGTGAAATGGCCATAATTTACTTAAATATTTAGCTATTTTGGGGTATGTTAAGTAGTTTTTCTTCTTTTGTTTTGCTATAATAAATAACAATGCATTGGAAATCTTCAGGCATATGGCTTTTCCCATATTTTGAATAATTTCCTGGAGTGGAAGTATTGGGTCAAAGGGCAAGGACATTTTATAATTCTTGATTTGTATCACCAAGCTGCTTTCCCAAAGGGTGGGTGAGGCCGATTCAGATCCTTCCAGCCTTATCCCACGGAAGGTGGTGATCGGTGAGGAAACCTGGACCTTTTCCTGAAGATGCTGGCAGCAGAGGTTGGGCTTTGATGACCAGCAGGGACAAGGACAGGGCCAGGACAGGGACAAGAGAAGAGGGAAGAGAACGTGGGAAGTGCAGGCAGCAGAAGGAGAAAGGAATGACCAGGAGTGACCATTCCGCTTCAGGGTTTTGGTTTTTATTTTTTCCCAATTGGAAAAGTAATTTATGTTCTTTGTAAAGAATCTAGACTTTTTCATATATTAGAATTTAATATTGAAAAGTTGTCCTTTGGTGTCACCCTCTGCTTAGTTTAGACCTCATCTTTCAGATTATTTCCAGCTGGGTGTGGTGGTGCACACCTGTATCCCCAGCACTCCGCAGGCTGAGGCAGGAGGATTGCCTCAAGTTCAAGGCCAGCTTGGGCTACATAATGCATTCAAGGCTAGCCTGAATTAGAGAGTGAGACCTTGCGTCAAAAAACCCTCCAAAACAAACCGATTATTTTCTACATAAACACGACGGAATAATTTGCTTTTAAAGAAATCGTTTCCTACTATATGCAGACACCTGGGGAGTAACTGCGCAGTGCGCAGGCAGATTTTCGTGTAAATAATCATACTCGAATAAGCAGTATCACCCATTTCCCATGCCTCAGGCCCTGCGCCGTCTCGGAGCAGCCTGGAGCCAGTACTGCGGGGCGCAGGCTTCCCAGCCAGAGAGCCCGGGGCAGCCCGGGCAGCGTGTTGCCGGGGACAGAGGTCTACGATTATTCCTGGCTCTCTGGGACCTCGGCTGGGATGCCCCTGTCCAACCTCAGTCCCCAAGAATGGCCATCCCTGCAAACCCTCAAATCGGGAAACCAAACCCTGGCCCCGGGGCAGCACTGCCCGACGTCCCTATCTCCTTGGCCTCTCACGCGGATGCAGCGACGACTCCCGGGGACTGCTTCCCGGCAGCCGGCCGCTCTTCCTCAACCCACCACCCCACCTGGGCTGGGGTCCCACGTTCGGCCGCGCGTCGCCGTCACACGAGGCCTGTAAACTCGTGCCGCCCCGCCTGACTCAACCGCGACCTCTGCAGCACTCCCTGCTGCCCCCGTGACTCAACTTCCCCACTTGCTCACGCAGGCCAGCGGCGTGAGGCGCCCGCACGGAATGGGGAGACGGCTCCCCGTGCTGCCGAGGCGGAGCGTAGGGTCGGGAGTCTCCGCCGGCCCAAGCGCCCTCCTGTACGCACCTCGCCCGCCCGCCCCGGCCCCAAGCACCCACGCGGGGAGACCGGCTTCGGAGCGCGCCGCTGAGATCTCCACCACGGCTCCTCCAGGGCGGGCTGCGCAGGGGAGGCCGGGTCCGGGCCGGGCCCGCGCCGCAGCCGCCGCCGAAGCCTGACGCAATCCCCGGCTCCCTTGCTGCAGCCAGCGCGAGGAAACCTCAGACGCCTTTGCATCACTCTTGCCAGCTTCGCTCTCGAGGAGGGGCTCGGCCAATCAGCGCGCGCGCTGCACCCGAGGGCGGTCGCTCAGCCACCAATTTACAGCCCCGCGCGGTTAACCGAGAAGCAAGATCCAAAGGTGATTGGCCAAAAGGGTGTCTGTCCCGCCCCAATCACCGCGACAGCTGGCCGCGGGGGGCGGGGCGCCCGGCCAGAGGGTTTAAAGGGCGCCTCCACCAGGGCTACTCAGTTTAGCTACCGAGCGGTGCCAGGCCAGGTGTACGCGTCCGTCGGCCCTTCCGCGCCCGCCCCGGAGACGAGCCCCGGAGGCCGCCCGGGCCGACCCGGCCGACCCTGTGCCCGGCACCATGAAGCAGGAGGCCGCGGTCCAGAACACTCCGCCTCCCTCGCCGTTCCCGGCATCGTCAGTGCAGACCCCCCAGGAGGACGGCGAACCCCAAGCACTGTGGATTTTCGGATACGGCTCCCTGGTGTGGAGGCCCGACTTTGCCTACAGCGACAGCCGCGTGGGCTTCGTGCGCGGCTACAGCCGGCGCTTCTGGCAGGGTGACACCTTCCATCGGGGCAGTGACAAAATGGTGAGCATCCGACCGTGCCGGAGAGCCAGGCGGTGGGGAGCATGGCCTGAGTGCCCCGGATTGCTGTGGTAAATGTGTCCACCTGCATCCCGGCTTGCCGAGTAAACGGGGGTGCTCAGGGCATCGCTGTGGGATGTCTCGAGTCCCAATCTGTGGGTACCTGGGATGATGTGCAGGCTGGGCCTTAGCCTGTGTCTGTCTTCCCGTCCATCTCTCCTACATCCCTGCATCACGCCCCGAAGGTCCTCTGGACCGTGGGGCCCCCAAAGCCTGAGCGCCCGGATTTTAATCAGCCCAATCGGGCTGATTTCTCACTTGTTTTTTTCCAAAATATTTCTTCTCTCCTTAGCCTGGCCGTGTGGTGACTCTCCTTGAAGATCGTGAGGCAAGTACTCGGGTCCAGAAGGGGACACAGGGCCCAGCATGGAGGGGTGTGATAGGCAGGCTGGGTATGGTGCCTGCCTGGCCCAGGGGAAGAGGGGTCTCCTGCAGTTCCTGTCAGAGACTCACCTGAGGAGCTTGTTAAAGCACAGATTTAGTCGACTGGGGTTAGAGTGGGTCCCAAGATGCAGGTGATGTCACTAGTTCCTGAGCCTCGCTATGAGCAGGAATTCTGTTTTCCCTGGGGCCAGACCACCTTGTCAACCCTTAAGAAAGAAGGACTAAGTCAGGGGTGGTGGAGCACGCCTGTGATCCCAGCACTCCGGAGGCTGAGGCAGGAGGATTGCTGCAAGTTCAGGCCAGGTTGAACTACATAGTAAATTTAAAGCCACACTGAACTACACAGTGAGAACCTGTCTCAAAAAAAAAGACAACTGGGTGTATTGCTAGAAGATGAACTCATCAGCTCATCACCCACCTCCCTTACACACACAGCCCAGGGGGTAGCATTCTGTCACTGACCACAGGTGTCCCTGTTCCCCCTCTAGGGCTGCACTTGGGGTGTGGCATACCAGGTTCAAGGCGAGCAAGTGAATGAGGCCCTGAAGTACCTGAATGTTCGGGAGGCAGTGCTTGGCGGCTATGACACCAAGGAGGTGACCTTCTACCCTCAGGATACACCAGAGCAGCCCCTCAAGGCACTGGCCTATGTAGCCACCCCACAGAACCCTGGCTACTTGGGCCCTGCTCCGGAGGAGGCCATTGCTACCCAGATCCTGGCCTGCCGGGGCTTCTCTGGCCACAACCTCGAGTACTTGCTGCGACTTGCTGACTTCATGCAGCTCTGTGGGCCTCAGGCGCAGGATGAGCATCTGGAAGCCATTGTGGATGCGGTGGGCTCCATGATGCCCTGTTTCTGCCCCATCGAGCAGTCTCTGGCACTGATCTGAGAGGCAGAGCCCCTGCAGGGAGTACACATGCAGACCCTGGGGCAGATGTCCAGCCCAGTGCCTGAGTCAGACATGATACAGCTGGAGCCCCTGAGAGGACATGGCAGGCAGCTGGGGACACCTCTCCCTATGCCCGCCTGCCTGCCAGCCTGCACCTCTCCTGTGTGATGCTGACTTCCTACTTGAAACTTAATTTATTGCACCATGTTGGTGTGGTGGGCAGGGTGGGGGGCCTGCCCTGGACATGGGCCCTGCTGTGTGGTGGTCCAGCCCAGACCCCTGGTGCCTCACCAGATCCCCCCAGTGCTGCTGCTAACCCCACATCACCCAGTCCTCCAGCTGCCCAGGGAGCTTCCATGCACTTTCATCCTCTGTCCACTGAGACCGGCCATTCCCCAGCTGTGGAAGAGCTCCTGCGCGAGTGTCCATCCCGCTATGTGAAGGGCAGGAGCATGGAGAGGGGCCAACAAGGGCTGAGGCCTGCACATCCACTGGGAGCTCAGGGCAGAGCTGGATCTGATGCCTGGACACACTGAGAGACAGGCCTGGGCTTCTTACCTTTGTGGTTTTCTCTCCTGGTCACTCTGTCTGTCTGCTTATCTGGGCCACTCCTGTGTATCTCTTGTTCTATTCCTGGGGGCTGGACAGGTCCTAGCCCCTTCCCCATCTGTTCCATACATTTGCCCATAAACTGGTCTCTTGTTATCTGTGCTGTGTTGGAATGTGATTCTTTTTGTACACAGAGCTTGCCATCAGCAAGGAGCAAGCCCAGAAAGGCTCCTAAGAAGGGAAGGGCTCCCTTTGCCCCCTTCCTTTTCTCCCAGGGAGGGGCAGCTGAGCAGGCAGGACCAGGTTCCACCACTCCCAAGGGCACAATCTAGAGCAGTGGTGCCGAACCTATGGCACACTTGCCCCACTAGGCAAAGTCCTTTCTGTTGGCATGCAAGCCAGATCACTCCAGCATCGCCCTAGCAGCCAAACATTCAGATTTAATTTCAGTGTAGTCACTTTGCAATAAATAAGTGGGTTTTGGGTTGCAGTTTGGGCACTTGGTCTCTAAAAGGTTCACCATCACTGATCTAGATCCTAATGCATGCAAATAATGCCTCTGACTTGTGCAGAATTTAGTCCATGCAGCTGAACTTGGCAGCACTGTGAGCAGTGTCCTTGTCACTGACCTGGGACATGACCTGGGATCTTGTGTCTCACCCTCCCCAGCTGACTGTGGAGGCTGGCAAGCTAAGGAGGCTGAGACCCGGTTTTCCTCCAGCTGCATGGCCAGCTGTGGCCTCTTCCTGACTGAGAGGCCAGAGGCCTGGCTTCCTGTTAAAGGAACATGGATAAGCAGGGCACAGTGACACATGCCTGTAATCTTAGCACTTGGGAGGCTGAGGCAGGGGGATTGCTGCGAGTTCAAGGATAGCCTCAACTACATAACAAGAGCCTGTCTCAGCAAACAAAAAACAAAACAAAACAAAAAACGTGTTAAGGTATGGTGATGACAACTTTTGGGGATGGTGCTGACAGCAGGGTCCTGTGACCTGGAAGACTTCATGTCCCTTTTACTGCTAGGTGCTGCAGTGCTGTTCGTCCCTTCTATCAGGACTCACCATGGTGCACTGAGTGGCCAGAGTGGTCTCTGGCCTGCTGCTTGTTCCCCCACCTGTCCCTGGACTCCTCTCCTTGTGTCCTGGCCCAGGGCTCCTGAGCCCTGAATGAACGGCACTTTGGACCACTCCTGCCCCTGCAGGATGGGCACGGGCTGAGCTGACAGACAGCAGCAGCACAGGAGTCTGAGTCCCCCCAGCCCCTTCCCTCTGCTCAGCCGCCTGGGCTTCAATTCAGCCTGTGAGGTCACACTCTCCATGGCATGACGGGTGCTGCTACTGTTGTGACCTGGGTCAGACTGGGTGTCCCCAGCAGGGTCAGCTCTGACCAGGCTGGGCAGGCATTGTGCCCGGGAGGCTGCCGTGCTGAGCTGTCTCAGCAGCCTTGTCCCTTGGCCATGGGTGGGAAAAGTGTGGAGTCCAGCCAGGCTCTTCTGGGAACCTAGTCAGAGCAACATGGCAGGAGGAGGTGGTGGCAGGTATCAGGGAGCCCTGGGCAGTCACCCCTAGGCCTCCTGTGTACACAGCCCTGCTCTAGACTGGAGGTCTGATGGGGTGGGGAGGGCTGCTTGCCAGTTGCAAGTTGGATCGGGCACTGTTCTGGGCACTGGGGACACAGCAGTGAGGAACCCTTCTTCCTAAGGAGCATGGTGCCCACTGGGCATGGAATGAGATCGCAGGGAAAGGCCCTGACCTGGTGACTGGGAGGACAGAGAGGACTTTCTGGGGAGAGAGCCTGAGGAGGGGCCTCCTGAAGCAGGGAGTCAGGGGACATCCTGGCACAACTTCACCAGGAGGGGCATAGAGCCGGGCAGGTGGCAGGACCAGGCCTGGCTGACCTAGGATTTTTTGGGTCAGTGGGGGCTTCAGATGAGGGAATAGCAATTCTGTGTCCAGCTGCAAGGAAAAGGCTGAAAGAGGCCTACAGGCATGGCAGGGGCAGGGGCAGGTGGGATGGTCTGAGAACGGTGTAAGGAGGAGGTGGCAGGGTCTGGTGAGTGGCTGGCTGAGTAGAGCAAGGGTCTGAAGATCCAGAAGGAGAAGCAGCTGAGCTCAGGCTCAGTTTCTCCTATTACATTCTCAGACACAGACCACTTCCGAGCCCAAGTGAGTGGGTTTTCCCACAGGCGACACCACGAGTAGCTCTGTGGCACCATCCTCTAGCCCCATTCAGCTCTGACACTGCCCACAGATAGCATCAGATCCACAGGTGAGGGTTTAGCCCTGATGACAGCCCCCTTTAGCACCATTTGTGAGCCTTGGCTTGTTTTCCCTGTGCTTCTGACCCACGGGCTGTACACTGAGGTGCCCACAGTGCCCTCCACAGGTTTAGTGTGCTGCAGTGGCTCACAGGACTCAGGGAACGTGTGTGCTTTACTGATTTATTATAAAGGGAACTATGAAGGGTGCAGAGGAAGAATGCACAGGGTGAGGTATGGGAGGAAGGTGCAGTGCTTCCTTCTGTGTCCTCCCCCAGTGCCACCCTCCAGGAACTGCCATGCATTCAGCTGTCTAGAAGCGCTTGGGTTTCACAAAGACCTCATGGCATATCATCATCCGGCAGGGCTTGGCCGGATGCTTCCACATCCCTTCCCTGTAGGTGTGGGGCAGGCCCCTTCTGAAATGGGGGCTTATCAACTGCTAGCAGACATGGTACCGAAGGTAAGATTAGAGTTTCTGGGCCCACTTGGGAGGCAGTTGGGAGCAGGAACTATGGCAGGCAGGTGTGAGGCAGGGCCCGGAGCCCATGCGGGAAGTGGAAGGGGGTCCAGGAATGTGGCTGCCACCCATGAGGGTGTAGGAGGTGAGTGACACTTTACAAAAAGTGTCAAGGATCTGAAGAGCTTTTGTCTGCGTGGGACATAGCTAACTGTATTTACTGCATTAGAAATTGACATTGAGACGTTAAGCCATATTCACTAAAAAAAGCAAGGGCTAGGTGTGGTGGTCCTGGCACTTTGGAGGCTGAGCCAGGATTATGAGTCTGAAGCCAACCTGGGCTACGTGGAAAGATCCTGTCTCAAAAATCTCAAAATAATAAACATTAAAACAAGACTGAAGGTCTAGTTCAGTGGTAAAGCACATGCTTAGCATGTGTGAGGTTCTGAGTTTGATCCCTACCACCAAAAATAAGTAGATAAAATGATAAACCCGTTAAATGTTAACTTCTTTTTCTTTTGAGATGAGGTCTTGCTATGTGGTCCAGGCTGGGCTTGAGTTGTGATCCTTCTGCCTCCACCTTCCAAGGACCTCAGACTAAAAGGCAGGCACCCCTGAGACCAATACTTGGTAATATATATATATATATGTTTTTTGTTTTTTGGTTTTTTTGTACCGGGGTTCAAACTCAGGACCTTGCACTTGTGAGGCAGGAGGCGGAACCACTGAGCTAAATCCCCAGGTCTGTTAATATATTTTTAAAGAAAAATTATTGTATTTGTCAAAACAAATCTAGTAAAAAGAAGGACTTATTTTATACTTCAATTGCCTGAGGTTTGTGTTTTATTTTTTTCTTTTTTGCCGCAGAGTAAGTCCTGAACTTATAAATGCGTTCTCTTCCAGGAGAACATTTGTAAGTTGGATTCGTTCGTAAGTCCGACAAAGTGAGTCTTATACACCTCTGGCGCAAATGTACAATGTAGGGGCCGGGGATTTACCTCAGTGGTTTCACTGCCTGCTGTGCAAGCTCAAGGACCCGAGTTCGATCTCCGGTACCAAAAAAAAAAAAATGTACAATGTATATTGCTTTGTGCTTCCTAGCAGTCCCCTCCACATCACCACTGCGTTTCCTCTCGCTTCCAGACATCCCAGGCTCTGACTCAGCACTGTACTGCTGTACACTATCACACTGTACAGCGAGCACACAGCAGCACAGCTCTGACGATGTCTGGCAGACACAGGAGCTACTTCCTCGATTTGTTCGAACCTAGGAATGCTTATAATGTGAGGTTAGTGAAAGTTCGTATCTGGAATATTTCTAAGTTGGTGAGTTACTGTACAGGATTAAACCCAGGATACTTACACTGAACTACTTTTTTAAGACATTTTTAAAAATAAATTTTATTTTATTTTATCCCTCTCCTCTCCTTCCCTCCCCTGTGTACAAAAGCTTTGTTTCCATTTTTTCTTCTATTTTCACTTATTTTTCTTGTCCCTTCCTTTCTCCCTCCCTCTTCCCTTGTTCCCCTTCCCATTTGAACACTTTCTTCCCATTTCCCAACGTCCAATATACATCTCAGTCCTTGTTTCCACATTCAGTTTCTCACACCAGAGAAATAATGCGGTATTTAAATACATGTGTCCAATTTATTTCACTTAAGAGTATGGTCTCAAGGTCTATCCATTTGGCTATAAATGTCTGAAGCTCATCCTTCTTTATGGCAGAGTATGAAAACTACACCTTCTTTATCCACTCATCCATTGATGGGCACTTGGGCTGTTTCCAAGATTTAGCTATTACAAACTGTGCCACTATAAACATGGGTGTACATATATCGCTGTGGTATGATGCTTTTAATTCCTTCAGGAAGATGCCAAGAAGAGGTATAGCTGGGTCAAATGGAACCTCCAGTCCTAGTTCTTTGAGGTATCTCCACACTGATTTCCACAGTGGTTGCACCAGTCTGCACTCCCACCAGCAGTGGAGCAGGGTTCCTCTTTCCCCACAGCCCTCCAGCATTTGCTATTGGTTGATTTCTTGATAGCAGCCATTCTTTCTGGAGTGAGGTGAAATCTCAGCTTTGTTTTAATTTTCATTTCACAAATGACCAGTGATGTTGAACACTTTTTCATATATTTATATGCCATTTCTAATTATTCATCTGAGAAGTGTCTTTTTTATTTCAGATGCCCATTTTTGCATTGGGTCTTTAAATTTGGGGAGGGTCTAATTTTTTTTAGTTCTCTTTTTTTTTTTTTTGGTACTGGGGATGGAACTCCGGACCTTGTACTTGTGAGGCAGGCAGTGGAACCACTGAGCTAAATCCCCAGCCCTGAGTTCTTTATATATTCTAGATGATAGTCATTTATCAGAATATCTGATAAAAAGTTTTTCTTTTTTTTTGAGACAGAGTCCAGCTATGTAGTCCAGGCTGGCCTTGAA